CAAAAAAGATTTATACTGCTCTGAAAAGTGTTGTCCCCATTATATGAAACGGTGCAAACCACGCCTCAAACACTGTGGGTCACTTCTGGTGAAAAAAATACTAGAGCTAGTTAAGGTTCAAGAAGGGCAACCAAAAGGACTATAAAAGCTCTGGATGAGTGCAGAACTGTGATTCACCCCACCCTGCAATACCACGACTCAGAGCACTGAGTAAAACTAGTTTAAAACACATTAAATAATAATAATAAAAAAAAAGTAGTTCTGTACACAGCAAGTAGGGAACTCCTGGAACTAGATTTCCTAGGAGGTTGAAGAGGCAGAAAATATAATAGAGTTCAAAAAGTAATTAGACAAATTTATGAATATCAGATCTATAGTAGATACTAAAAGGGATTGGCAATGGCATAAATGTTAATGCTCTATTACGATTGAGCAACTGTGGGTGATGGGAACATATTGAGGAATGTGCTGAAGACATCCAGACTTGTGTTCTCACCCTAAGCTGCATCTCTCCAGCAGCCATTACTGGAGGTAGGACACTGAAGAACATTTCTTAGCATCTTATGCTCTGACATCACTGGAGATTTCATCTGGAACTAAAGATGGAGCCTACACAGACCGAGAGCTCTAGTAACATACAGGGGATAGATAAAACTCCACTGAACTTTCTCAGTAGCAGAATTAAGTCTGAACTAAAGTGTAAACTCAGAAATTAAGACACACTCCCTGCTGTCAGGTAGCACTACATCTTTATCTCCAAGAATAGAGGCACAAAATGCAGTGGTAGATGGCATGTAGTGCAGTTCAGCAGCAACATACAGGTCTAGCTGGGAGGCAAAGAGGAGAAGAGGAGGTGGAAACCTGGATGTAAGTCATATAATACTCGGACTTGACAGATCTTAAGAGGGACAGGCAGAAAGTTCAGGGAAGAGGTGTGCAGTTTAGGATGGATGTTTGAAACCAAAGCTTGAGGTGACATGGTGTAGGAATTCTACTGGAAGGAGAGAAATAAGGAAGAAGGTAGGAAAAGAACATCACCTAAAGACATTCCTGTTTCTTTGACTTTGCTCTAGGACTGATCTTTTCTCAGTCCCTGCCTACACAAATGTGCTATGAACTTGACAGACTGTCAGCCAAGTATTGTAAGCAAGCTATCCTGCCACTGATACAGCCGTCACTGTGTTAAGTCTCTGATATGGCGGATGTGAGGAAGCTTTCCAAATGTTAAGCCTTTGAGTACACCCACTACTTCTAGAAAACTGAGCATAGTCAGTCAGAGCTGAGGGTTTGTTCAGTCAATAAAGTGTTTTCATACCTTCAGATATCTTGTATGTTAACAGTTTAAACATGCATGTGCACACATGCACCTATCCTGGTACACATACTGTTTTCCTAGGTATTACCCGAGATGCTCCACAAAAAAGGGAAATCAGAGCCACAGGGGCCTAAATTTCTTTTCGGATTCACAGAATACAGACAGTACATTCAGATGCAGTGCAAGCTTCCTGCCCACCTCTCTCCTCTCTTGCTAGCTTGTCTTGGTCTGTGCTTCTAAGGATGAAGCAGTGGTAAAGTCTGCAATCTTTTGCTAAGAGTGTGGATGACTTTCCTAATTAATGCCAACTGTCAGATTTGCTCCAGTTACATGAGTGTCTCTCCAACAATCATGGTGAAGTCACACAAACCTTGTAATTACTGGTTTTAAATTCTAACTTTCATTTGTCAGCATCATGAGAAAGCCAGCTATTCCTTTGAAGAACAGACATCTATTCTGATGTTCAGAAACTTCCTGAAAATCTGTCTGATGGCAGAGATGTACAAAAATGCATTTAAGGCAATTTAATTTTAGTTTTCAAAGATATGCTTGCAGCTAAGCCGTAGTATGACAGTGAGAACTGATAAGGCTGTTCCAGACAGCAGGAGGTGGAGATGAGTAAACTCCTTTGCCAACTGCCAGATTGCATGTCTGACACATTGCAGATGTAAATCCAAGTAACTCAATGGGGAGACTACGCTGAATCATACCCTTTGGGGATGTGTCTATGTCTTCAGGGCAAGAGGTAGTATGAAGAGAGCAAAGACAAATTCCTTTATATAAACGGAAACAATTTTATGCAAGCCAAGAGCCTCCCTTGGTTTCTCTCTGAGGCAGCCCAGAGCACCATGCTTGTCCCTTTGCCCAGGCACATGATTTTTTTCTTTTTTTCCTCATATCAAAGCTGTGAAAGCCAAAATTCCTATGTAACAACACAATCTTTGCTGGAGAGTAACATTATGAATGCAAAAGGAAATAAAGGAAATAGAAATCTTTTTATTGCTTCTCTGTGAAACATGATACTGTTTAGATCTTGAAGACGAGTATTTGGGGTTTTGGTGCTACCAACTGAGATATCCTAATCATGCATTCCATCTCCTCAGGAAAAAAAAAAAAAAAAAAAAAAAAAAAAGAAGAACAAAGCCCAAAACAACAAAGCTCAGAAACAGATTAGATTTCTTGCAGGAAGGGGACCTTTTATAGTTCTGTCAAGATCAGGTATACCTCTGGGAGATGCACTTCCATCACGCATTCACCACTGGGCTCAGTCCAGAGGTATTAATGAGTGGTGATATTCAGCAGGCTGGATTAGGTCATGCAATGCTTCATGCTGACCTACGAATGCAGCATTGTCATCAATACGTGTGCACTGTATACTGACTTCTGAAGGAAGATCTAAAGTGTGGTTCATTAACCATAATTACACATTATGATACCCTGGCAACACAGAGAAAACATAGTGCTTCAGGCATTCAAAAGTCTAGGCCGAATCAAGAATCAAAGCCCAAGAGTTTTGATTTTTGTTATGTTACTCTGGCCGCAGATCAAACTCCCTCCAGTCACTTCTGGGCATAAACAACACAGATGAGAACCTTCTGCAGTGAGTCCAGCAAAATGCCCTAGGGTTACTCACACTTGTAGCTCTTCTTCAGGTTCAGGAATGGAAATTCTTTAAATCTTAGAACTCTTCAAGACACCTATAGTGTTCAGCACCACTGGGTCTCTAGGCTCTTCTATAATATAGTAGCAGTTCACCTCAAAATGAATATCAATTAATAGAGCTATTTAAGGCTTCAGGGATGCAAATACCTTGCTATAATTTAAAAACACTTAATACTCAGCTAAGAACAAATTGTTACCCATATCTTGTCATTTCAGAAACTCAAATTATTTCTTTTTGAGCATTTTCCATATCTTGCCGAACTTACAGCTTTAGGCTGTTGAGAAAGTTCAGGATTAAAAACTGAAAGTATAATTAAAAAACACACACAAGGAAAAAAAAAAAAAAAGGAGGACAAATTATGGCGTCTGCCACATGCACAGCACTGGATTGTATTTTTTTTTTTTTCTAATTTATCAGCTGGAGCTGTACTAAAGAGTTATGAGTTGTGCAATTCTTCTGTGGTCAACTGTCAGGACCAGAGTGGCACTGGAGCAGCTGCAAGAGTGCAGCTGCTGTACATCGTGCCCATGTCCTCTCCCTTGAGGAGCCAGAGTCAAAGCTTTGGCCCTGGACAAGTGGAGAAGGAGCTGCCTGTCAGGAATCGTCTTAGCCAACAATCTGCCAGTTGGCAGACAGCTTTAGCCCTGAAGTAGAATAGTTTATATATCGTCAATTTACCCAAGATTCTCACTACTTTTTTTTTTTTTAAAGTTTGGATCCCTAAGAAGTGTCCATAGCTCTGCAGAGGCACCACACACAAGAGGTATCTGAAAATGCATACATAATGTACATTTCTGCATACGCATGACTAATTACTTCACAGAAATGTGTAAAAGTGAACACATACAGACCTGCTCTAATATTGTGGCCTTCATCTTTAAAAAAATATTTTGAAAATAAATACTGTGTGGTTATATCTTTATAACATGTCAAGTGTGGTTTGGGATACAGAAGCCAGCAACACAAAGTATTTATAAGACATTAGTACGCCCTCTTTATGAACAGCTATGCTTGCTTTTTGTTTTCACTTTGTGCTCTACCCTGGATACTGATATTAACATTTCATTTTTTAAAGAATGATTAGCAATACCAGCAGTTCTTGGCTGGTAAATGCTGATGATAACCAAAGACTTAATTCACAGGTTTTAAAAATAAACTGACTATAAGGCATCTGATTACGGGATCCATAAACACTCACTGTTGTAGTAACTTTGCTGGAACTAGGCTGTTTTTTGACACATCTCATTAGGCAATGCATTTTTAACACAATAGGAACTCCCATTACAAGCTCCCCTTAAGGCTTTCTGGGGGATTTCTTCTAACCTACTAACAAATTTAAGAGTTGCTAATAATCAAAGAATCGCCAGGACCATACAGACATTACAAGTAACCAGATGAGACTTTGAAGACATTCAGAAGCCTGCCCTTAGTGTCATTCATCTCTCTGGATAAGCAAATGTAAAGTCTCAACCCCAAGAGACAGGTGAGTGGAAGGCAGTCATCCTGAGTAGTCACTGGAAATTTGGTACTGCAGAGAGACACAAACTGACCAGGGACTCTGCTTTCTTGTTGCTGCTACAACAAGTCAGACCAAAATCTTATTCCTTCTATCACGAGGGGAAAATTAGTTTTGCCCCAGAAATATCATAAGAGTCTAGAGCAATCTGGATGTTCTCTATTTTTAATATACAGTTAAAAACTATAAATGAATAAACACATCCATTTACCATCAGCTAAATACAGCTTTTGTGGTTCCTAAGTAGTACTTTTCCTTGTAGAAGCCTTCAGAACCTTTGTACACATGAACTTACAGAGTGACAACTCCCCTGCAGAGCTCTGACTCTCTTGCATAAGAGCACAGGCACTACACAGTGGTATCTAAGAAGGTAAAAGGCTTTTCATTTTATTCTGTATTGGTACTATTCATTTTGGGTTTTTTTACTCCTCAGTCGCACTGCAGCCTGTATCTGCTGTATGATCAATAAGAGTTAACAAGGAAAGACTTGGGATCATGGGACTTACTTGGGGTATTCAGGAGACGTGACTTTTTGCAGTGGTAGGCTGCTTCCTGTTCGCAGTACTCTGCACTGTTTATCATGGCTTCAAGCTGCTCTGCACTGCTGTTGTAGTTAAAGGTCATGGTGTACGGCTTCTCTGGATCAGCTCCTTGGACTCTGGTTAGCCCTGTGTTGTTGTGCTGCACTGCAGTCCAGATCTTATCTTCTGTTAAATGAAAAAGCATTGAACGGGAAGTTAACAGCAAAAAACTTGTAACAAGCAAGGAACAAAAAACCCAATTGGAATCTAACACTTTACTGCATTGGGGAGAGCATCAGCAGCACCCTTGGCTCTGAAACGGTCGCTCTGTGATGAACACCTATTACAGGTCAGTGTAGCACACAGAGCTCAAGCAAACCCTACAGTCTGAACAAGAAAGAAACTACAAGTCTCCCGGGAACCCCAGGGGATCTTCAGCATCTTCTGCTGACAGGAATCTGATGAAAATTAGATACCTTCCAGCTAGCTTTGGCCCTAAGAGAAAAAGCATAATAATATGGCTCATGGGGGTAACATTCATCTGCAAACATAGCTGTACCTGAGAGCACATCCCATGCTGCTATAACAACAAATGGTTGCAGAGAACTGTGGCTGATGAGCTTGCACAAACTCACCACAAACAGAAACTACAAACCCTTGCCATAAAGCTAACACTGAGAGTATGTTCTTACCACCCAGCTGGAAGTCAGATCACTCATTTTACTCAGTTCTCAGATTTTTCTACATATAAGTTGAGCGATGCCCTGCTTGGATGACGGTACAGAACAACACATGACTCGGCAGCTGTAGTTAACTGTAAATGTTGATGCTTTTGCATAATGGGGAGCCCATTCTCATCTCCTTCGCTACATTTACTGGCAGAGCAAGGAATTTTGTAGGTGACAGAAAGCAGAATCAAAGCTTAAGCACAACCTGCAATGTAACAACCCAGCTCATGACCAGCATTTGGGTTGGCATGATAAGGAACACATCACAATTAGAAGCAATTAGCTTAGCAGAGAGGCTGTTTCACAGCTGGTTCTGGTGAGATAGCAATAGGCAAGATAATAACGACAGACTGAACGGCCAATCTGCCAAGATGACCCAGAGTAAAAGGCAAACCCTTTAATAAGGATTCACAGAACTGAGCCCTGCACATGCTCCACTATGCCACAATGTTATTAAGAGTCACCTATAGTAAATTCTCTCTGTATCAAATACCCTGCTTACTTAGGGAGGATACAAGACACTGATAGGACAAAAATTTAAGGAAGTAAATTTTAATCATTCAATGAGAGAAATATTTCAATCTCACTTGCAGAAACCTATGGACATTTTCAGAGGAAGAGGCAATACCTACACAAGATATTTCTATGCTCCAACAGGTAGACCCTGGATAACACTGAACCAGATATTTTCTAAACCAATCTTAAAAACTGTGTATTTAAGTATTTGGATGGTTTTACCAGATTAACTAGCCTGAGTTCTTGCAGAGCATGAACTTTCCAGTTATTTCCCAATACACTGTCATGATGAGCCCAGTAGCTTTGTGGTCACTGCAATGCATTGCAGCTGAATTATTTTTTGTCAAACTACAAATATCCCACAGATTACTTCAACAGAACTCGAATAGGTGTATAAAAATCCTAAATGGACTATCTGTGCAAAGACCCTCAGATGATTTAATGGGTTGCCATTATGGAGGCATTCAGATGACAGGCAAGTAACAACAACCATCTGGAGACTATTTAAAGAAGTCTGTTCCAAGACCCGGATGCAAGTTACAGAGAAATGACTCTCCCAGTAATGTATAGCATTAACTGTAAGGACAGTCTATACTCGGAAAACCATGCATTCACTCATAACACTCTCATAATTTCTGCGACGGTAGACAGAGTTTGCTCATAGATCTGTAATTCTGTGGTCCTTATTTGGTTTAGGATGTTGCCTGTGGATCCTTTAAGTTAGAGCTCAATGCTGCAAATGTGTGATATACAAAAGTTAGATTAAAATCACAAGAAATATTACAAATGTATTGCTTGTAAAACTTGCCCCAGTGGTTGTAATTACAGCCAACAGTGCAGCACAATACCCTGCACATATATTGCTTCCAGCACAATATAATTCAGTGACTTCATAACACACATCTTGTACATCTGAAAGTAGCGATTCTTATCAGCTAGTCTCTCTGTGTTCAGAAGCAGCTGAGGGTGACCTAACTTTCCTCTCACTGAAGTTGTAGAAATTTAACCCCTACCTTCACTGAAAAATCCAATAAAAAGATAAACATCAAGTTGCTGATACTGTGAGATGTAAAACCAAGAGATGATGGACTGAACTGGTTGCCAAAATTCCAGATGGGCAGTCATAAGCACCTCCCCACAAAATTTTGAGGAATCACAGTAAAATCAATGCTCACAAGAGTGGCTACAGTGTTGCTCAGGAAGTACAACAGCCTAACACTGTTTCAGAGCGGTTAAAACTACGGTGCTTTCCAGGCTGTGTACATGTACACCAGGAAAGGTGCTGTGTGGGTACCTGAAAAGCCAAGAGCATCAAGATCTAGTAATTTAGAAGAAGTGAAGAATTACTAGGAAAAACTTATTAAAAGTAGCATAGCACAAAACAGTCTTCTCAAGAAGCGTTGGAAATGTAATTAATTGACAGGTTTGAAATGAGCTTGGACAAGATATCAACAAACATACTATCAGGGACAAGCACTCATTAACAACTATGTTAGACAATGCAATAGGTCTTTCTTTTATTTTCCTTTGTGATTGTTAATTACTTTTCAGTGACCTTGTTATCATTACAGCTGCACTCAGCTGTCCCTCTGAGATCTGAACTTTGACATTTAAGAACTGCTTTTCTCTACAGGATCTTTCGGAAATGAGAAGCTAATAACAGATTTTTTTGTCCTCTAGTTTGTGGAGGGAAAGGAAAAACAAATCAAGATTCTTTCTGTACTCAAAGTAATTGTGATTTTGAACCTCCTAGAAGAATAAGAGATTCCATTCCCATTACAGTAAAAAAAAAAAAAAAAAATCTGAGAAAGTTCCTTCTTTCAAAAGGAAACCCCTTGGTTTGTATGCAGCAAATGAGCCTGAAAACAATGTAAACGTTAGTTTGCTTTGGACAGAGTGGGAGAGCTGACACTGCTCCCTCCTGCATCTCAGCTGACTGAGACGTAACTAAGAGCTGGATAGCAGTAAATTTTTGAACCATTCCAAGACCATAGCAAGATCATGCACATCTGCTTCTATAGATCAGAAAACCACACAAAAATAAACCTAATCTTTCTTCTGAAGACCCTCACCACTCAGGTCAATTCCTGGGCTTTATTCAAGCACCATTTTCTCCACCTCAAACGAGGCAGCATTTGGAAAAATAGCATACTATCTTCTAAAATTCACATGCGCAAGTTTAGCTAGGGATGCTTCCTGAATACAGCTGCTTGCCTCAGAATGAGGTCAAGGAATTACACTTATGGCTCAATCAGCATGTAATCTGAAGCCTACTGACAACAATCATCTGGGAGCCTGCATTTCAGGCATGCTTCAGGACCTATGTAAGACATGTAGCTGCAATCTGGACACGCACACAGATCACTACAGCTAGAAAGTAGTGCAACAGCTGTCTGCAACTTATCTCCATAAGATCTGCATTGCTTATGTGTATGGCTTTTCAACATGGGACTTCAAATACTGTTCCTCTTTCACAATATAAGGACTGGTTGTTTTTATTATTTTTTTTTTAATAATTCTTTTTTGGTTTGTTTTCATTATATTTTTGAGCAGTGACACTGTAATCATAGATGCAAACCAAATTGAGTGCCATGAGCTCCTTCTAGCCATTTCCATATCTGGAAACTGTTCAACTATGCAGATAAGGCTCTCTGTTTCTTTATTTCAACAAAGAAGTTATCATTACCTTTTTACACCTGTCGATACTACGGTTTTTTCCTGTTTACTCAACTTAATGAGCTCTCTCTGCACTTGTGAATTTTCAATGAGAATTAAAAAGCTGTTCTCCAAGCAAAGGTCACTGTTTATTTTTACTTTCCACTATTCCACTTTATTATTGTATTACTTTCTCAGCTTGGTAAAATTTCAAACCACACACAAGCTGAAAGTCATTCAAAACTCAGTAGGAGAGTACAGCCACATCTTCTACTGTATAACCTGGAATAGTTAAATGCAGCCTTGAAAAACAGATTTCCTAAATGCTTGTTAAATTGTTCCATAATTCAAAGGTGACAATACTTTAATTTCAGGGTAACGCTACAGCTTTATGACTTCACAGACTTATTTAATGGTCCAAATTACTAGGATATTGTGTTGCCTATATTTGGTCCTAGGAGATGTTTTTATATCATGGGACTTCAATGTATTCAGCACATTTTAAACCCTCTGTTTAGCCTCACCCATAGTTCTATCATCTTGCTGGAAGCCTCCAACTTGCTTTTGATGACACACAAATTAAATTGTGGGAAATTAGAGCAGCTGGAAAACTGGCTTTCAATGAGTTCTGTACTGTCTAATTCTCATTTTTATTCTTCAACTTGAAATATCTCTGTGGAACACATTTCACCCATACAAACTGCATCACTCCTCTGTGATTTAGGAGGTTTGTCAAAAAACAAGATTATTCAGACTGATTAAATTGCCAACAAGCCAAACATACGGTAAATGCTACACGAGAGAGAGAAAAATTGCTCTGAGAGCTCATATGATGCATTTGTTTCATGGTGCTCTACATTGAATGCCAAATATTGTCCTGAAAGCTGTACCTATAACTACAGTAGTAACCACACAAAAGAAAGATTCTCCTCCTTGAACACTGTATTGTTTTAAGCTGCAGTAGCAATTTAACCCAGTCACTCTAACATACACCCCCCAAAGAATATGAAAAGACAATTTCTTATTGCAGACGGCTTTAATTCACTGCCTCCAAGTCTCCTAGGAAATCCACGCACTATTATTTTTTTTTTCCTATCTACCATTTTTTTTTCTGCTGGCTGACCCAGCAATATGTGCTTTGCAGCTTGTTTTGTGCTCATCAGCCTTCTCCCAGTTTCCGACTCAGCCACTTCCAGCCAGTGCAGAAGCACAGCAATACATTTCCATGGAAAAGATTCTATGGCCAGCCCTGTCCCCCTAGTCCTGCATGCAGCCCACTCTCCCAAC